GTGCGTGAGGTTTAAGCCTGTTCGTTAAGCCGATTTTATCGGCGATCTGGCAGAAATTTCACCAACGGGGGGGCCCCTCTCGCAGGGTGAGTTTTCGGGGCACAATTACTCGTATGCTGGAGTACAATTTTGGGAGGCTGTACGCGCCACGAATCCCTCGATCAGATGGGAACCGATCCTTCATGCAACACATTCCGCATGGCACATCGTTTTGGCCCGGGTGCGGGCCATGGTGCACGGGGAGAGAGCATGGGCAAGAGGTTTCCCAGGCGACTTGGTGGCAGTCGAACTCTCAAGCCAAGTCGATTACCAAGTGCCACCTGCTCCTATATGGATGCAGTTGAAGTGCCTCCACTCACCTCCCCTCTCCTCACCACATTTCGGTTGTGCCACCGAAAAGCAATTAAGAACTGATTGCCCCCGCTCCAGCCAAGGATATTTGAGAAAAATTGAAAATGCGAATCCTTCGAGAAGCCGAAGGCAGGCAGGCGGCTTCGGGCCCACTGCGTGGCCAAAAGATACTGTTCGGGATGGGGTTGGGGGTGTGGGTGTGCCATGTGCACACCCTAAACGTGTATCTCAAAATTTGATAACCCCACACGCACTCACACAATTGCGACTTCAATTGCAATTCGGGCTGCAGTCTGCCGTTTGCCATCTGCAAATGCAGATGCATACAAACATACTTGCATATGTAGTATGTATGTATGTGCATCTGCTGTGTGCGTGTATCTCAAAGATTGCGTCCGTGTTCGTGCCTGCAATTGCAACTCAATTGCGCATTTGCCACCGCAAGCATCAATATCCCGCATAGGCATCGGCATAGGCACAGGCACAGGCATAGGGGGCCATAATCACGTCTGAACACAGATCTAAGGAAGCGGGCTCACCTTCCGCCAGCCAAGCCAACGCCTTTCCCCCGTACTCCCTGCGGCCAATTTAATTGACAGATTTAGTGGTCCTCGATTGGCAGTGCGGAAAATTAGTTTTCCGTCTCCCAGTAAACCTCAACCGACTTTCTGTGGCTTTTGTGCGTCGTCGTAGTCGTCGCATTTAATTGTTTTATAGACACTCCAATCCACTCTATAGAGGGGTGCAAGCACAATGTAGGTACATACATACATATGTACAACAGATTCCTATGTATAGCTAGAGAGACAAAGCAAGAGCCAGAGAGTGGATGTGTCTCCGTGTGTGTGTGTGTGTGTGTGTGTGTGTACATCATAGGCAAGGTGAAACACGCCCATGACAAACACGCACGAAAATAGATTTAATTAAATTGCGAATAAAATGCGTGAGGCAGGGGCTGGGTGTTCGATGGGTGGCATGGGTGGTGGGGGTGGCGGGGGTGTTTGAGAGACACATGTGTGCCAAACGGACCAATTAATCGATTCGCCATTGACTTCTCCTGTTCGGGCCCGAAAAGGGTTTCTCCCAAGTTCTTTCGCCTCTCCCCTCGTTTCCTGGAAGGGAACGCTCGAAAAAGGGGGAATCAATTTCCGGTTGATCCAAGTCATGGCACATCGCAGATAGATGGATTCCAGTTCCCGGTAATCTCCGCGCATCTAAATGTTGTGTCTTACAGATACCAGGAATACCAGGTCTTCGGTACCCCCCATAGAAATTCCAGCTAAGCAGGGTATTCCCCGTGCATCAAGATGGGTAGGGCTCCCATTTGCCCATTCGCTCCGCGAGAGGAATATCTGCTCGGAGATGGGGCTGTCCCGGGCAGGCGCGCGACGATGACAAAAACAAGAAATAAATTAGAGCAGGAGGAGGAGCAATGGGGCGGGAGAAACCGAAAAACGAAATCGAATTAAATATAAGTAGTCTTCCTCCCCACACAAACACACACAGCCGCACACACCACATACCACACATGCACACGCGTCGCTGCATCTGTGTCTGTGTCTGCATATGTATCTGTATCTGTATCTGTATCAGGGTATATAAATAGTTATAATAGAAGCATAGATCACACGTTGTGCCGCATGCAACATGGAGTCGCCGTCACCTGGAGATTTATTGCCGCTGGAAACGCTCTGAACAGGGGTGAGTCAGTCCGAGGGACACACACCCATGGCTGGAAAGAGAGGGCAGATACAGAGTGAGACGGAGAGATACATCTATCGCTTCGTTTCGTTTGGTTTCGTTTGGTTTCGTTTCGGTTCAAAGTTCGCTGCAAATGGGAGACACGTAAACTGTCAAAACTTTAAATCCCTCAGGAATTTAAGTTAAAAAATATAACACGTACTGAGGACTCGACACGGGCACAGCTGCTCGCCCAAACAGACGACTACGACAAAACCTTGAAAATGTATCTCCAGAATGGAGGAAGGAAGCATGCCCAGGGAGGCCCCAGCCCCACAGAAAACCAACTGGAAAAAAATAAATATTCTGGAAAAAGATTTCCACTTCTCTCTCTCTGCTGCTGCTGCGACTCCACCATCCACCATCCACCATCCAACCTCATTCCCATTCCCATTTCTCTCTCTCTCTCTCTGTCTGTCTCTTTCTGGCTCGTTTAAATTATCTACGAGAAATTTCGCGCCTTTCCATACAAAGTTTTATTGTGCCGCGCCCCCCGCTCGACCCGACCCCACACATACCAGCATTTAAATTATGTACTTAGAAATACACAAAAATTTTCCAAAAGTCTACAAAAGAAAATGGCACAGCACAGCACAGCAGGACGCAGATGAAGAAGAAGAAGAAGAGACGAGAGCCAAAGAAGCAAAATGAATTTCGCACTTTTTCGCATAATAAATTTGGAAACTTGGCCAGCGCGATGGAAAAAAATCCAAGCGGGAGAGGAAAAGCGAAGAAAAGTAGGGGCAAACCAAAGTTTCGTAAAAAGTTTATTTTTGCATATACAAGGCATGGCAGGGCAAGGGCAAGGGCCGCGGGGCGGCCATCTGAATACTCGGCCGCCGAGTGACAAATTCCATTTAAAATTGTCGAGCACAGCTCACGTACTCCACTGCCAGCAGTGGCAGCCTCTTCCCTGGCCGCTCCACAGTAAGATGAAACTTTTGCTGAAAACCTCCGCGTGATGGATACCCCAGGAGGAGTAGCGTAGCAACAGCAGCAGCAGCAGCAGTGGAGCGGGTGGGATTTAAGTTAATCAGCAAACAAAACAGGTTTAGTGCTAAATAAATTTATTTATGCATTCGCCGCTTTTCGACGCTATTTCTTTATTTTGTACTCTCGACAGGGATTGGACGAAATAAATCTAAAGTAACTGCTAAAATGTATCTAATATGGCTTAATCTTATCCACCTCTTATCACCATTTTAATGAATGAATAAATACAATGGATTATTCATTTTACACATGCACATTCGTACAACCAATATGCTGAGAAAGCTTACGTATGTTACTTGGCAAGTGATTCGGACTTGTCCCTGGCAGTTTTCTCGCACCTTAAATTGCTGCATCACATTATACATTTTCGTATCTACATCAATATGCACATAGATACTCGTACGGGCACATGGATACATATGTACATATATGGATATATATATATATATATGTAGATGATAATTTCTTTGTTGGATGCTGGCAATTTTATTTTCACATCATTTTTATTGTCTATAAAAAATTTTCGCCATTTATTTAACGTAAGTCTGTCGCACACTAACACACACACAAGTGCACTCGACGCACACACACATTCACATGCAAGTGTAATAATCGGGCTCGTGCGTGTGTGTGCGAGAGTGAAAGATAAATGCGTTTTCACTTTATGACTTTCGTGTCGGCATAAATTTGTTAATACCTTTAGGCCAAATTTATAACATAATAAATGCTCATAATATTTAACTTAACATTGCGCCCAGGCTCCGGCTCAGGCCCTGGGCCAGCACCAGCCCAGGCCCAGGCCCAGACTCGGAGAAAGAGACTCGGAATTCAAAATGCGAAAGTTAACATTGTCCGTCCGTCCGTCCTTTAGTCCGTGGCGAGGCGGAAGCGGAGAGTAAATTCTGATAAAATCAGACATGGTCTGGTTCTGCTTTTGCCTCTGATGCAGAGACAGAGACAGATACAGCCTATGGATGGATAGAAAGAAAGAGAGAGAGTGCGAGCGAGCGAGTGCCTTGCAACACACACGAAATTGAGTTATTGCACTGGAAGGCAAATTAAACTTCATAAATATTTAAAATCAGAGATTAAACACGGCAGCACCGACTGCATGTTGATGAGACTCAATCCCTGTCCCTGTCCGTGTCCCTGTCCGTATCCCTGTCTGTGTCCATGTCGGACCCAGGTTGCCAATTAAACGGGCATTATCTGGCATAACTGCAGTTTAAGTAGCCAACTCTTCCTATACCCCGTTGCGGAGTGCTCGCACGTTTCTCCTTTTCATTTTAATGTTGTAGCAATGACAGTCAGCAACAGCAGCAGCAGCAACAGCAGCAGCAACATCAGCCTGCCACAGCAGCAAACGATCAATTTAAAGTAACGATCTCGGCAAAGAAACAAAAACCACAAACCACAAGCCGCAAATGCAACTGGAAAATGGCAATACTCGTAAAAATGAAATGTATTTTTTGCAGTTGAGGTCTCTGCTGCTGGAGATCTCCTTTCCTTTCCCCTGGCTTGGCTGCAATTGCTGGATGTTACTGCCTACGTCCGTGCTGCTTGATGATCGTTTCAATTTAAGTTCGGGCTGCAAAAAAGGAGAATTTATATTTACGACATTAGGCCAAACAACAGCACAAATGTTGAGCAGCTTGTTGCAGTTTCTCAATTTTATTTGCCCGCCAAAATCTCGAAAACTGTTCAGGATCTCTTCTTAGATATATGAACACATATATGTACGAGTTTATATATATCGGTTTTCCGGCTTACTAATCAACGCACATCCCATGCGGACTTTTTTTGATGTACGCGAACAGAAATTTCGTAGATAAACTTTGTCAATGTTTAAATTATACAGATGTGTAGATGTATATTCACTTGTGAGCCTTACTAACATTCCCATCCATCTTCTCCAGGTACAAATGGTCTGCGAAGACGCGGCCGACAGACATACACCCGCTACCAGACGCTTGAGCTGGAGAAGGAGTTCCACACGAATCACTATCTGACCCGCAGACGGAGAATCGAGATGGCGCACGCCCTCTGCCTGACGGAGCGACAGATCAAGATCTGGTTCCAGAACAGGCGGATGAAGTTGAAAAAGGAAATACAGGCGATCAAGGAGCTGAACGAGCAGGAGAAGCAGGCGCAGGCGCAAAAGGCTGCGGCGGCAGCAGCCGCGGCGGCGGCCGTCCAGGGCGGGCACTTAGACCAGAATTAGGCGGAATTACAAAATACAAATACAAAGCAACTCTATATTGTAACAAAAGAACTATTTACTTAAATGAATAATATTTAAATATTTCGATGGTAATGTGCGAATACGAAACTAAACTAAAGGAAATATTTCAAGCGTTTGAGCAGCAACCGAAAATACGTAAAACAAAACTACAAACTAATTAAATAGAGTAAGTAAATAAAAGTAGTGGAAGAGCGCAACGCAGGCGGATTACAAACCTACTTAGAAGTAAAAATAAAAAATAAAAACTAAAAACTAAAAATTAAATTAAACGAGAACGAACACAAATTTAATTTAGTTTCAAACAAACAAGATTCGCGGACATTGGACATTGATTCGCGGCGTAAGATTATGTTTATGACAAATACGTCGAAGATCTTTCCAAATTCAAGACCCCTGCCCCGCCCACCCCTTTGTTGCTTACTGGTATGTTTAAATTATGTTTCGCAAAAATACTCAAAACAAACAACAAAAAAAAAAAACAAAAATCTATAAAATTACGAATAAAAATGTTGAAAGAAAGCAAAGTTCTGTTGATATGAATTTTTTGGTAACAACAAGTTTTAAACCAATTTAAAGATATGTAACAAAAGGAAACGAAAACAAAAACAAAAATGAATGGAAAGAAAAGAAAGGAAAAGAAACCTATTAAAATGTAACTTAAATATAAATAGAATTTGTTAGCAAAGTAAAATATTACGAGAGGGGAAACCGAAGAGCGAAGAGGAGCGTATTGGAGGATACGGATACTCGTACAATATTTGAATGTGTATAGTTTGTGCTTATGGAATAAAATTAATGCAATTTTAGTTAACTCTGTTTATTTTTAAACGAATTTGTTTAGTTCTCGCTTAGACGACTAAACTGAAGCTGTTTCTTTAAGTAATGTGTAGTGTTTTTAACTCTTAAATTAAATTAATTCCTAATTTTATTATTATGTTTAGTTTAATGACAAAGCGTTTATGAGATTATCCGACAGTAGCCCCGAGAAGGAGAACGACAAATCGTTTGCCCTGGCAAACGCAAATAAATTATTGGTTTTGAAAAAATCTAAAAAACAAAGAGAAAACGAATTCGAATTCGATTATTGTGTTATTATTATTATTATTGTTTTAGTTTTGCCCTTTTGTTTTTCTCGATTTGTTTCTCTCGTCTCTGCATAGAGCATAAAACCAGAGACCAGGGTGTTTGAAAAATATGAGTTCGCGGGCTCGTTTTGTTTTCCCGCTCGTATGCGAAATTGCTTTTGATCTCGTTGCGTTAATTGATCGTAAGTTGTATGCTATAGAGAGATACGATACCCATACCCACACCCATACCGATAAGGATAACGATACCGAGATTCTTACCAATATATAGTTTAGTGGATCCAACGAGCTGTGCTCGAACCAAGCCACAAGATACATCTCCCACGGCGTGTATCGAGTCTTCGTCTTTCAGTTCAGTTTGGGTAACTTATCCCCAACTTATCCCCCTTATTGCGGGTTATCTCCGAAAGAAAACCTACACAAGATGTATACGTAATTAGAGCCTAAGATTCGAAAATAGATATACACATATGCAGATCTTGATATATACACATATACATATATATATTTATGTATTTACGTGGAAATCGAGTATAAATGGACAAACAATAAGAGAGAAAATATCTGCGAAACGGAAACAGATGCAAATACGTAACTATGAATTAAGTTAAATGTTATAGATTTTAAATGCAAAGGCGGCGGCAGCGGCAGCGGCAGAGGCAAACGCCAACGCCAACGCAGATGCAACCGAAATACGTTGATGTATACATACACTGAAAAAAAAACAAAACAAAACAAAACAAAAAAAAAAAAGATGAGCAGCGTGGATCGAGAGGGTATTCCATTCCCCGCCACCGCAAACCCAAGAATAGACGCTAAAATACAATATTTACAGATTTAAATGTGGATTATCGTAGCAACAGATATACGTAAATAGTAACAGTAACTAAAAGGAGACTCGCAGATGTCTTGAATATACATACATACATACCTACATATGTACGTAATCGTATGTAGTACTACCCATACCCCCCTTACCAACTACCTAAGAATGTAATAATACCACGTACTAGACGTACGTACGTAATTTCTAGTGGCTTTTACTTTAATCTCCGACCCGCAGACAGACGGAGGCCGAAAAGTTAGTTGAGACACTTTGTCTCCTTAATATGTATTTCCATCAGACCTACCTACAACTTCTTTGCAGTTACATTTTCTACTTGAACTCTTCCCCCTCATGCGGGGGGTCCTTGATCTCCGATCGCTCGGACCCCGCCAACTCCGTTTATACTTAACCTACTCGTATGTAACTCTAATTTAAAGCCATTCTATGCTAGCTCTGTAAGTTGTAAATTATCAATATAAACTATACGTATAAAAGAACAAACACAAAACAAAACAGCAACCAGTGAGAATGTGGAAATGAACAAATAAATTAAACAAAACGATTTAAACTATTTTTGATTCAATGTTTGGCTTTCCTTAGCTGGAAATGGCAAGAAGGATCAGAATCCTGATGATGGGCGGGCATAAGCTGTCTGAATATACATATATAGCGGAGATAAATTCGTAGGAAGCCCGCGATTTCATACCTGTCGTTGCTTTGGCTGTACACACTTTTGCTTCTGAAGCGGGATGATCTCGTCGGGATTTGCATGGAGTAGGAACTAGAGCTGGCTGCTGCCCTTTCGTTCAGCATATTTGCTTTTTGCTTTTAAACCTTTGCTCTCCTGCGGGTTAAAGTTTAAAAATTCATAAGCCAAGCAGCAGCGTAGAGTGGGGCGACTTCATGTTGTTAATCAAATGCATCGCATAGACTTGGCGGATCATTTATATCATTTTTATCTCTCTACGTCAATGTGCATTGACGACGACTCCCTCGTCACTAATTTCGTTGCATCTTCGTGAGTTCTACGCTTGGGATAAGTTAGGAGGAGCCATAAAATTGATGGAAAGCCTTAAAATGTGTGTTACTTGGATGGTGAATCTATCTAGTTGCAAAGCTTGCTTAAGTTAGTGTAGAAAAAAGCTAAACAACAGATTCCTAATTTTATTTCTGCGCCATCTTTTTAATTTTTTTAATAATTTCCAATTGTGGGGCTATAACTGTTATCGTAATATACATATATAATAAAACATATTAAAGTAGTAAAAGTTCTCGAAGCTCAACAAAAATAGTACTTATTGTATATCTCATCCAAATTTAGTCCTCAAATGTAGTCTCCTTTATTAACGAATTCAAACCAAATCCGGAAATAAGCAAACATATAAACGTTACAATATATTTTTTTAATTTTCACGGAATGCGAAAGGTTGCGCAACAAGTTTTACCAAATGTTGCGCAGTATGTTTTAGCAGCATGCTGCAGGAAACTTAACGAATGTTGCGAAGCGCCACTGTGAAAATCTATGTGATGGTAAGTTACCATAGTAACGGTATTTCTTTAATAGGATTATAAATCACCTACCCTAGCCGACATAAACAATTAAATATTATACGACAAGCGACAGCTCTCAAGGCGTTCTCTGTAGCAAGTATAAATACTTAAGAATTCAAATTAGAAACATTTGAAAAGTTTGAATTTGAATTTTGAATTTAACGACCATTGAGGCGCGGCGCCATTCACAGCGGTTTCCATTCATATTTTAAAATTGTATTTTAAGTTAACATGTTACGCTGTTATTATGTTATGTTAAGTTAACAGGTTATATGTTAATGTAATGTTAGCCAGCGAAAATGTCATAAAAAAGGGTCACACTCAGCGGATGCGATTTAGCGCACAAAAATACCGAAAAGCGAAGAAGAAGACCGTTCTGCCAGCGCGCGCCAGCCCAATTCGGTCATCAGATTAGAGCTGGAAAAACATCGATGTTTGCCACCATCGAATTTTTCGATGTTTTAGGACGAAGACATCGATTATAATCGATTATCGACATAAAAAATACAAAAATTTGTTTGCGGCTTAAACTTTTAATTGAGATCTGATAGGAAGCTGTTTTCCAAAATCCAAATGTTTGTTAATGGAATAATAGGATACATATTCAAGCTTCAAAAGATATGAGCAATATGGTTTTACGGTGGTTTGTTTGTTCTTGGCTGAGGCTAACCTACACGTACCTCTTGATTTCAAGTATTCTTGTAAAAAAAAGGATATTTTCCATGGTCAAAAAAGTGGGCAAAACAGTCTTTACAGTATTTAGCGCTTAGCCAATCTTAAAATTTGTTTCATTTTCTGATGATCAGATTCTGCCTCGAACTGGAGGGAAGATCTCCTGTCAGTGGCCGAGGAATCGGCCGCGGAACCTTGTTCCGGATATCCTCGGATATACTATACGCTGGGCCGCAACGAATGGGGCGTCATCTTGTGCTCCTCGTCCAGGCCGTACTTGAAGAAGTGCCTCACACAAAACACCAACTGCCCGTCTCTGGGCGGTACTCGACGAAGTTTCGTATCGTTCTCGTCGCAGTCACGACGCAGCTTTCCCTCCCAATTAATTTCGATCAGACGCTGCGCATCCTTCACAGCCACAGGCTGGGTCTGGGTCTTGTCCACGGGCCATACCTGCTCGAGGGTGACTTGTGCCTCACGATTCAGGCCTGGTTGATAGTCAGCCTCTTCTCACCGTCCGGATAAATGATGATCTCCTTGTTACGGAAGTAAACTGCAGTGAGAGAGAATAGTTCCTAGCGGATGCTGCTTGCATGGCTCCTCCCCAATCACTACCAATCTCGTCCAGATTCAGACCAGCCACGCCCATTTCCTTGGCAAAGAACACAGTGCCACAGCCCTAGCGTCCAATGGTGAAATTGGGCACCACACAGGACCCATCCTCGGCCAGGTAGGACTTGAGATCATCCAACGAGGGTATCGTGTAGGTGTAGTAGCCCTTATTTTTTAACAGCGCATGGCCCGCATTTCCACTGTTTAGGAGGATGCCGTACACGTTTATAGCCGTCGGCACTGTGCCGTACACAGTTTGATGCGGCGGCCTGTTGCGAAATGTGGTCGGCCTCACCCGAATCTCCACTCGACGTCACATCGAAATCGTCGTCGCTACTTACATTCTTGAATACGGTGACTGGCACCGGAGCGTAATCATTTTGCGGTCGTCCACAGACGCACACACACACGTAACTATGCTCATATGTCGGGCTGTTGCTCCATTTAACTACAGGTTAGGTTACTACTGTTACTAGATAGTTACTAAGTTAACGTTACTTTACGTAGTTGCTGTACGTAGTTAGTTTCAGCATTTAAGCTAGCTTAAGCGCTTTGGCGCGCCGCTTCCACACACACACAAACACACATATCATAACGGATCTTTCACTAGGGCTGGATCGTTGCCGAAACGATAGTATCGATATAAATTTTTAAATTAGATTTATTTAAATTGCAATTGAGATGGATCTCACGAGATGAGATAGTCATGACTAAAGTTATAGAAGTCCTTCTATAACTACAGCTCCTGATAAGGATTGGTAAGGACCTAAACTGGACCTAGACGTACAAAAATCGATAGTGTTGTGTTCGTATCGATAGCAAAGCTAGGGCTGCACAAACCGTGCACGGACAAATACACAAACCCCCCGCCCCGTTTGTCCCATGTTTTACCTCTTCATATCATTTAAACAAGTGGAATTTAACGCATAGCAGATGTGAAAATCGGCTATGTCAATTTGGTATCGTGTCTCACATATTTTCGAAATGAAAAGTTTGTAATAATATTAGACGAGTATCATATAATTAATATATGTATTTATTTTTGCAGACTTTTCTACCCGTACCGAAATGGAAGGTACTTGTAATAGCTGCATTCAACTTGCAGGGCACTATTTATACATTCGTGCGGTAAGTTTGCCTCTGGTCTACTCTGGTAATACATCAATAGTCATCTATTTTTGTCCTTTTGACAGGTGCCAGTTACACAGGAGTCCTGCGTAGGTGCGAGGAAAATCAACTCGGCTCTAGACCTTGTAGTAAAACAAGTAATAAAAAAGGAATATTCAAACCACCTCGTGCCAATAGTGTCCGACCACTGTCCTGTAAACTTGGCTGGCATGTCCGAAGCCTCCAAAGCGTTACCGATTCGGCATTTCATCGGATCCCTTAAAACTCTATGCAGTGCACAGCAGGAGATTGGAGCTTCTGAAGGACCCAATATATTATATAGCCCGTGTGGTTGGGCTTATGCTTATGTAACCACTCCAAAAGCATACAGCAATAACGCGTAATAAACACAACAAATTGTGTTCAATTTTTTTCCAACTTTTCAATTTATATAAAACTGCATGCAGAGTACAGTTAGAAATTCATAGAATACCAAAAGTGCCAGCCAGTGACCAGAACACCGATGGATATGCAGCTAGGCGCCATGCTGCACGTGTACAAGGGGGAGTGGCGTCTGCCGACCATTGACTTTGAATGTTTACGTGCACTGGTAGGTTCAGTTGCATCATTTCACACACAGCACGCGTATTATCTATCGAGATCAATGAATCAAACTCTTACCATTTCTGTAGCAGTGTCTTCTGCGATTCACCCGCTGTCCAATGGACGTGGAAACGAATGCGAATCCCCTTCACTCTGGAGCTGGAAAGTTGCCCTATCTGCAGATTGGCAAATGACAAATTCGTGGGCTACGGTAAAATAAAGCGCGTGCTGGATATTGAGGTGAGTGCACACAGAACGGAGTACGATATTGCCTACTCATTGACAAAAAATTCTTCGGCGAATATTATGAACTGATCCAGGTTTCGACTTTCACTTTCTTCAGGGCGAAATTTAATGCAAATCCTCTTGCCACTCAATTACGTTCGGGGTGCAGCAGATTCGACTTTGGGAACATCGAACTGCTAAAATATAAAATGGGACTGGAACTAAAGCTTGGACTTTTAATGTGCCCGCAACTGTTGTATTAAATTCAATCGAGCTGCTCTCACACCTAAATCAATTCCAATCTGACGCTCTTTAAGCTTCGAGATTATTGTACGAGTATCAATCGCACAATCGCACGCTAAAGCGTGTGTTGAGTCAGTTCGATTTTTGAGCTCGGTCGGATCCGTTCAATGTTCGTTAACGCGTGCTGTCCGATGGAATTCATATCAACACGCATTTAACACAAACAATACATACATTTAGGGGAGTAGTGATTGTTGTGCACATAGAAATCATCTACAAAGCGGAAAGAATGCAGCTTAAATCGATTTTATCGAATTTATTGTGTTTATGGGCGGTGGTGACGTTGGGGCCCAGAGCAAGTGAGTAAAGTTCGAAATGATAATAGGAACCAGACGAAAATAAACATATACTATGTGCCGAGTATGCACCATGTATGCTGCTTATACCTACAAGTACGAGTATAGTACACAATGCACACTCACAACCTCTCTGAGAACGTTCTCTCTGAGAACGTCTTCCAGCATGTTGGACGATGCTAAAACAAGATTTGAGCCGGTTCCTCTTGAGATCTCTCGCTCTCTCTCTCTCTCTCCCTGCTTGTATTATTCCTCCGGTCTATCTGAAACGTATAATTGAAAGTGATAGGAATATTCATATGAACAAGAAGCAATGGTAAATTACGTAAAACAATTGAAACTTTGTATGTATTTATGTTGTTATCAGTACGAAGTATCCGGCGGAGCTTCCCATAATTTTCGCGAAACTGTTCTGCGCTTTCAATTTTGTTGTATCTTCAAAATTGTGGGTGAGATGGGCAGATAGGTATATATGTACTTAAAAATATACATATATGTACAGACTTTATGGGGTAGCATACGCTTCCTCTTTTACTACTACCCAAATGTAATATACCACTTTACTTTTGAGTGCTACGTAGATATGTATGTATGTATATTCAAACACTTTAAATATGCAATGTTTTTTATTTTCGAACGTATGTATGTATATATCCATATATACGTTTATATCCAATGCAAAACAAAGTTTAATCAGAAACAGTTTCTATTATCCAAGAGTATCTAATGGTCCAAATAATTCATAATACTTGTAAATCGGAACTTTATTGCAATTTAATACCTTCTTTTGCATATGTATCTCCATATAGTAAACGCCGAATGTTCGACTTCCCAGTTTGAGTGCGACAATGGCAGCTGCATATCGCAATTCGACGTCTGCAACGGCGTGAAGAACTGCCCAGACGGATCGGACGAGACACCGCTGATGTGTATCTCCCAGCGACAGCACTGTTCGAAGCCCTACTTCCAATGTAGCTACGGGGCGTGCGTCATAGGCACAGCAGGATGCAACGGAGACAACGATTGCGCGGATGGCTCGGATGAAACGCTGCTGCGATGTGGCAACGAAGACGATTTGCGACAGTTCGACCGCCGTTTGCAGGGAAATTGTCAGTGAGTAGAAGACTTATCTGCGGCCTTAATGGGGAGTTTCACTTGCCAGTTGCCCAATCTTGCAGAGACGACGAGATCAAGTGCCCATCTGGCATTTGCCTGGACAAGAGCAGGTCTCTCTGCGACGGCAAGGACGACTGTGGAGACGGCACCGGGTTCGATGAGTCGGTGGAATTGTGCGGGCACGTAGAGTGTCCGGGCTACTCCTTCAAGTGCGGCACTGGCGGCTGCATTTCCGGAGCACTAAGCTGCAATGGAGAGAACGATTGCTTCGATGGATCGGACGAGGCCCCTCTGCTGTGCAATACCACCAAGAAGGTGACGTCGCCTACTTCTGGCACCATACCGTTGGAGCAGCTAGGCTGCCCCTTGCCGCTGGGAGACGAACGCCCCATTCTGAAGGACCACCATGGTCGTGTTCTGCCCCCGCCGATCACCAGGGCCACGGTCTACTTCTCCTGCCATCCTGGCTTCATATTGGTGGGCGACGAGTCCAGTCACTGCGCCAACAGAAAGTGGAGTTCCGAGACAGAGCCGAAGTGCGTGAGTGAGTAGCCCCAGATCCCCGTCCTGCCGAGTTCAACTCTTGAGCGCCTTCTCCGCTTTCCCCTGCAGAATACTGCGACTCCAAGGGCGAGTTCGATGGGTACTCCACCAAGGCCATATGCACTTCCGCTGGACAGAACATCGACTGCAGTCAGCGCTATCATCCGCCCGGCACTGAGGTGAAGTTTGTGTGTGCCACCGGCTTTCAGACGCTCAGCACCACCCTCCCGGATATGAAGTGTATGAAGGGGGGGTACTGGAACCGGCAGCGGCAACGCTGCGACCAGGAGTGTGGCCAGATAGCCACGCCCACCAAGAGCTTCTCGGCCAACGGGTACACCATCAACAACACGGTGGTCCCGTGGCATGTGGGCCTCTACGTCTGGCACAATGAGAAGAACTACAACTTCAAGTGTGGCGGCTCGCTGCTCACCCCGGACCTCATTATCACCGCTGCCCATTGCGTGTACGATGAAGCGGCACGAGGAGCCTACAGTTTTGACACGTTCCGCGTGATAGCGGCCAAGTTTTATCGGAACTATAACAAAACTACTAGCGACGACCGCTGGCAGAACGTGCGGGACATTATCATAGCACCGTACGTATGGTGCAGATAAGCTCTCGCAGATGTTACCTCACCTTGCCACATTGTTTATTGCAGTGGCTACAAGGGCAGGACGGACAACTACTACAACGATCTGGCCCTGCTAGTTCTGGCTGAGCCCTTCGAGCTCAGCAACGTCATTCGGCCCATCTGCGTACATTTCTCGAAATTTGCCGAGAGGGAGACTATCAACAACGAAGTGCAGGGAAAATTCGCTGGCTGGAGCATCGAGGACAAGCGCGAGCTGCAGTTTGTGCCGGCAGTGTCAAAGATGAACTCCGTGTGCCTGCAAAATCTCCGCGACATTCATCCGGACAAGTTTTGCATCTTCACGCAGGGAAAGTCGCTGGCGTGCCAGGGCGACAGTGGCGGCGGATTCACCGCCGTCCGCCAGTCCAACGCATTCTCCCGTGACACCTCTCGCCATTTCCTGTACGGCGTCATCAGCAACGCACCCAATGCAGACCAGTGCGCCCACAGTCTGACGTTACTGACCAACATCCAGTACTTTGAGGAAATAATCACCACAGCGATCAAAACTAGCATAAATACCAGATCCTGAGCGCAGAGTTCTCGGCTGTGACCAGGCTAGACTAGGGCATATCCATTCCAGGATATTTATATACCTACGATTATTTTGCTTAAGCCTAAAGTAAAACTAGTCCCAAAAGAAAATGAACACTTGCACAATTATTCCACGAATAGACAATTGGAATTAATAATTTAAATAGTGTATAAATGTTGTTGATATTCTGAAAATGATCGATCCCTTAAGTGCACTCAACCTTAGCAACGATTGTTATTGATTGATGAGATGTATCTAGTTCTTGGTTTTAGCTGATTCTCGGATGTTGAACTTGGGCACACGATCCTTCCTGGCCAATATCTTGTTGGAGTTGTCCTCTATATTAATGGTGCTGATAATCAGATTGACACGTCGCTCTATAACGCCAATGAACAGCTTCACATTGTGGACTGTTAGGAAGGTCTTGGTGCTGAGCACGTTGAGGATGGGGGCGTCGTCGCAGGCCAATTGTCTGGGAATGGTTTCCACTCAGTTACAGATCTGGAGTAGTCCTAAAGTCTCACCTGAATATATCCTCGATCCCCTTAAGCAGCTGCTCCAGTCTGATGCTCAGGGTTTGCTTCTTTTCGCTGGTCTCCTTTGCCAGTTGTTCAATGCGATCCTGCTCTGCATTTAAATAGTCCAACGCCTCGGTCTTCAGCTTCAATTCCTTCTCGGTCTGTTCCGATTTTTGTCGTTCTAGGGTAAGTGTCTAAGGTCAAGTGTCTGCATATATTTTCCCAAATAACGTATGACCCACCTATTTCGTCGGTTAATTCTTGCGTGGAATCGTTCAACACCTCCACCTCGTGACTTAGCTCATTCACGTAATTGAAGAGAGCGAAGTTCTCATCCTCTTGGCGCTTAAACTGAGCCACCAAGCGGTCTGCATCGTCTTCGCCATACAACTGCTTGATCTTCTCAATTATCTCCTTGTATTCGAAAAGTTGTCGCTCATAGTTCTGCTTTTGATTCTGCTTCTTGTCCAACTCTCGCTGCTCCAACTCCGGATTGAGTCGCTTTTGTCCCTTGATGTCGAAAAACTTCTGCAACTTGGCATCATGCTCTAGACGCCTCTGCATCTCCCGCATCTCTTGGATGTGCATAACCTTGTCGTTCTCATTGCGGTCCTTTAGAAGGGAAAGCTTTCCGCAAAGTTCTTCGCGCTGATCGAAGGCCAGCGTGGATTGGTCAATTAAGTCCATTATGAATTTCTTACCCTCATTGAACTGAGTGACCATCGCTTGCCACATGTCGTTGAAATTCGCCCTGCAGCAATAGACACAAGTTAAAGGCTCTGTGAGGATATTCCTATTCCTCCCGCGGGTCTTACCGATCCTGCAGCATATGGTTAATGGCATCTCGCATTTTGCTGTTCTCTGTAAGAACATCGCTGCACTTCTTGTTGACCACATCCAGACGGTTCTCCAGCTTGACGACGCTCTTTTGGACCTTGCAAATTGTGTCCTTGTAGCAATTGTCGGGCACCTCGTTGCGACGAAGGCTGTCGATTTCCTTTTCCATTTTCCGAATGTGACCCTCTAGCTCCCACAGATTGGTTCGCTCGTTCTGAAGCACCCTCTGCAGGTCCGTCTGCTGTCTCTGCAGTGTTCCCAGATGCCGTTCCTTCTGCAATTAGAGTACTGCTTGGTAAATTATCGCTCCCCATCGATTCGACTACCACCCACATTTGTGTTCCTCCGAGCGTGAGTTCCTCCCTCCAACGTCTTGATCTCCTCCTTCAGCTTCTGGTGCTCCGCCTGGAGAACGTTTATCATATGGTTCTGCTTCTTCAGTCGCTTGGCCTTCTCCTCCAGCAGGCCGCGAAGATCGAGCTGAAGCGATCGATGTTGTCGCTGCAGCCTCAGCAACTCTGCTGTGGCCAATTGGTCAAGTTCGCTGTGGTCAGCCATATTGGTCGGATGCACAAAGTACGAGTATTCAAACGACCTATCCTTGATAATCGTAAACTTTTGTATCTATTGATTTTAATTGTAAACAGCCCTGCTGCAGTATTGTCGCTTAGTTACGGCTCATAGTTGGCGCCATTCCCTTCCACATATTAATATTTCAATATTCGAATGTACGTTTATTTTTATTTTTACGTGTACTGACATGTTAAAGTTGAATTTGTTTGCAGTTAAATATTAGCTTAAGAACGAGAAGGAACGCTGTGAGTCGCTGCTGTGACTCTACTTATGAGCTATGAGCTATATGTACATATGTGGAATTTTAAAATAGTTTACATTTTTTTGCTACAGCTGTCATTTACATCTACAATGTATATTATACATCTAAAATGTATATTCTACTTCTAAAATGTAGATTATACTTGTACAATGCACAGGGCATAGGGGCGGGGTAGGCAATTGAAACCTAATATCTTAAAAGTTGTGGATTCTCCACATATTCTCTAGTTGTGGAGCTTTAGAAGCGAATATTTTAAAATAACCTCGTAACACTGTGATGACAGGAGTAATATCACGGATACAAGACAAGGTCTCTGATATAACGAGGTCGAATTTAAGTTCTGTGAGCAGTTGACGTTGGGAACCATAGAGGCACCACTACCCTGTCCCCTCAAAGTGCTAGATGTTGATTTGGCCAGCATGAATGAGCTGATTTATTCAGAGAATGTGGACATTGCCCTGTGTTTGTACAGCTTTCTGCAGAATGGCACGAATGTCTGGAGAAACTGTCCGATAAACGCCTTGGGGTACAACGAAAAAACAATGAAACTATCAATGAAATAATGAAACGCAGTTATCGGTATCAATGAAAGAACAATGAAACTATCAATGAAATAATGAAACGCAGTTATCGGTATCAATGAAATAATGAAACGCAGTTATCGGTATCAATGAAAAAATGAAACGCAGCTATCGATATTCGGCATGCATACTATCGGACGGTTTGATTCATCCGATGTGCCGTCGCTAAGTGCAACTATCGATGTTCACTTGTTTACAAATTTATTTATAATGTTGACGCTGCATACGAAACCCGAAAGAGACCGATTCGCGATCTTTTTGGATCACAGAAGACTTATTAATGAAGCATACAGTAATGGAGATGGTGCGACACACCATCTCAAGGCAGATCTATTTCACTTTCAAGCCAAAAAAACAGAAGCGAAGCAAAGCGAACAGAAGAGATCAAAGAAGCGCAAGCGAATTCCGGAGGACATACATGGTGCATCGGATTCACAGACGATTGAGAGGTACCTGGCTCTCTTGCCCACGTCCGTGGGCTATGAGACAACAACGCCTCTACCACGGTATTGGGAGGCCCCATACACAGTTCCCCAGTTGCACGGAGCCAATCAGAGCGGGCAGATCCAACAGTTTCCCAGCGGAGACGAGGCCAACACCACCTACCTCATACCGGACAGGGCGCGCTTCTACAATCACAACGTAGACCATCTGCCGGCACTATTGCCGCAACTCTTGCCCAGCTACGATCTGATTGTAGTCGATCCGCCGTGGCGCAACAAATACATTCGACGGCTGAAACGTGTCAAGCAGGAGCTCGGTTATTCCATGCTAGACAACGACCAATTGGCTCTACTCCCGCTCGCCAAGTTGACCAACAGACGCACCCTTGTGGCCGTCTGGTGTACTAATTCCATCCAGCACCAGACGGCTTTAGTAAAAAACATTTTGCCAAGCTGGAAGCTTCGTCTGCTCCACAAACTTCGCTGGTACAAACTAAGCACGGATCACCATCTTGTTGGCCCTCTCCAAGCAGACCCCACCCAGAAGCAGCCCTATGAAATGCTTTATGTGGCATGTCATGCCGATAGCCACGAGAACTATGGAAAGGACATACAAAAAGCAGAGCTAATCCTCAGCGTTCCCAGCATTGTGCACTCGCATAAGCCGCCCCTTCTGCCATGGCTGCGCCAGCATATAGAATTGGACCTCAATCAAACGGATCCCAATTGTCTAGAGCTTTTTGCACGTTATCTGCAGCCGCAGTTTACCTCCATTGGATTGGAGGTACTGAAGTTAATGGATGAGCGCCTGTACGAAGCTCATGCCGAACTAACAAGAACACCATAGATAAAGTTTAGGCATGCCAATTACATTAGTCTTAGCCGTAATTCTCTTATAGTAATGGGGATTGATCTGAATATATACCTTAAGTCTAATAGTAGCAGGTAGTAGTAAGCAATCCCTAAAAATAAACAGTGCTTGGTTTTAAGAAATTTATTTGTGTACGGATTGTTAATGAGAGCAAATGCAGCAAAAATGTTGTGTGGGAGACAAGGGACAAGCTGCTTCGATGAAAGCCAGCGGCGCCTTGGCCCAATATAAATGTTAGACATTTGGGGGTGGTTGGGTGTGGGTGTGTTTTGTGTGTTAAATTAGATATTACAATTTATTAAGCATTATTAATACACATTGTGTTTGTTCAAGGACTATTCCTGGCCTTGGGCCATGGCGGCCGGATTGGTTGGCTCGTTGCCACCACGCTTCTTTGAGCCGGAAACAATGTCATCAATGCGCAGCAACAAGATGGCTGTTTCAACGGCAGTCTTGTAGGTCTGCAGTTTGACGGCCAACGGCTCCCAAATGTTCTTCACGTTCATATCCACAATCTCGCCGGACTCGCCGTCAATGCCCCAGGCGCACACGCCGTCGCCGGTGTGGGAGGCGTGCTTAGCACGCAGGGCGGTGAGAGCGCGAATAGTGTTGGCGCCACAGTTTTGGGCCAGGGTGCGAGGTATGATCTCCAAGGCATGGGCCACCGCCGTGTAGGGCCCCTTGACCTGCTTGCGAGAGAGAAGCTGGGAGGCAGCCATCTCCACAGCCCCACCGCCAGCCACAAGACGCGGCTCCAACACCAGATTGCGAGCAACATGCAGGGCATCTTGGAGATTGCGTTCAGTTTCATTGAGAATATCCTTGCTGGCGCCGCGCAACAGTATGGTGCACGCCTTCGGGTCCTTGCACTCCGTGACGAAGGTGAAGTACTCGTCGCCAATTTTCTTGATCTCAAAGAGACCGGCACCAGTGCCGACATCCTTCTCGGTCAGCTCCTCAGTACGGTTGACAATGGTGGCGCCACAGGCCCGGGCAATGCGCAAGTTGTCCGTCTTGCGTAGGCGACGGATGGCGGTGATGCCTTCCTTCAGCAGATAGTGCTGCGCCAGATCCGAAACACCCTTCTCAGTGAAAACCAGATCAGGCTTCACGGCAATGATGTCAGCACAAATGCGCTGGACAAACTCTTCCTCGATCTGCAACATGCGCGTGAAGTCCTGCTCGCCAATGATTTCTACATTGGTCTGACTCTCTCCCTTCTTGTACTCCAGAGAGCAGTCGAGCAGAACGATGCGAGGATTCTCGATGTAGCGACGCATTTTAGGATGCGTCACGTCCTTGTTGATCATAACGCCCTTCAGAACACACGACTCTTCGATGGCACCGCCGGGAATCTTCTCCACCTTAGCATAACTGTCGGAATGAGAATACTCTAAAAAAATAGACTCCAAAAGAAAAGGTTAAACCCTTACCGCTTAATGTCCACCTCCAGGCGACCGTTTTCATTCAGCGTAACCGTCTCCACTGCATCCAGTGCAATTTTGACAGCCAGATCCGACCACTTGCCAATGAATTTCGTGCCCACGCAGGCCTTGACCACTTGAGCCATCTTTGCCTTGTCCTTGACGTCCAACTGCACACTTAGGTCGGACAGCAGGTGTCCCACAATGTCTTCGAGGGCCTCACGGTAGGCGCGAATGATCACTGTGGGATGGATTTGCTGCTGGAGGAATGGCTCGGCGGCGGCCAGCATCTCACCAGCCAGCACAATGACGGAGGTGGTGCCATCGCCTACCTCTTCGTCCTGTGTGCGGGCAATCTCAATCATGCTCTTGGCCGCCGGATGCTGAACGGTGATCTCACGGAGAATGGCATTTCCGTCGTTTGTCATTACAATACCGCCCATAGGGTCCATCAGCATTTTCAGCATGGCCTGTGGGCCCAGGCAAGTGCGAATCACATCAGCAATAGCCTGGAAAACCGCAATTATGTCAGCAGATGGCCACCAATGCAAGCGAGGAGCCCTCGTCAAACCCAGACATGTGAGTCACACACACGCACACACACACTTACCTTTCCGGCTTGAATATTCTCCAACTGCACTTTGCGGCCAGATTCCCGTTTTGTGTTTTGACCTACGGACACAGATTGTGAGCCCAGGCGGCTTTAAATTGATGAAAATTCAATACTTACTCAACACGAGTATTGGTTGCTGTCCACCAAACATTTTTTATATTCTTTAATTTATCTTTACGCGAAAACAAATGAAATGAAATGAACTCGTGCTGCTGCCGCTGTTTGAAGAATGAGTGAGGTTAGAGACGCCGATGACACACGATTCTAGAAGATTCGATAAATATATAATTGGAATGACTGGTTTTATCAATCTTGGCCTCTGCTATGACAATTTGGTAATAATTATTAATAACTCACTTGATATTTTGATTAAAAATCAAAGATATTGTTCAAAATTTGAGTTTTCCGAGAAACAATCGCGTTTCAAAAGTGAGTTGGCACTCCCATTTTCTATCAGCTGTGAGTCTGATAGCCTTTTTACACTTGGCGCGTTTCCTATCAATATCAAAATTGACGCAATGATGAGGAAAATGCGTTCACATTGGCAGACGCAGGTTGTTGTGTCTTGAGAATAGCTGATTTGTGGGCTTGATGACAAGTTAAGGAACCAACTATTTCAGAAACTACCACTAGGCCGCTATGCACTGAAAACAAATCTGAAAAATATCGATTCAAAAAAATTATAGTGTAAACTATCGAATGTGGCCAATATCGGTGTTTTGCCATCGATAGATGGGTATCTGTCGATATGTTAAAAAGTGAGTTGGCACTTCCATGGCTTATCAGCTGTTGCGGTTTTGTTTATTTCGGGCGGCATTTTGTACAAAAAATAGAAATTGATAAACAAAAGCACATGCAAGCCATGGACACAAAAAAAATATCATTTGGCTTCAGTAAAGTGGCCAAGAAGCCGAACATTTTGCCCAGCAAAGTCGCAAAAGAGGAAAACAGAGTGGAGCTGATAAAATGCGTGGAAGGAAAGGAAATCAAGCTAGTCGCGTAAGTGTAAACATTTCTCGCAAAATCGTATTTAATTAAAGGTTTTCTGGCTACTCAGCGAAAGAACAGAGGCTGCGCCGCTGGTTATACAGATGCAAGGCAGTCAGAAGACGTCCTCGGCACTTGCAAGTCTGATGAAAAGGAGGCAAGTTCTGCTTGGAGAGGATGAGCCAGATCCCGATGAGTCGACATCCGCACCTCAATCAATTGCCGAGGTCACTGCAGCAATTTCGGCTGAAAACCTGGAGCAACGGGCAGCACGTGAATTGTTAGCAGACGCACAAGCCAATGGAAGCGAAAATCTAAACGGGGAGAAGCTCGTCCTGCCTGCTGTAAAGGCAGATGAACTGCCGCTAGAAGGGGCCAAAGAAGCCTCCTTAGACGATTATGAATCTATACCCATCCAACAGTTTGGTCTGGCCATGCTTCGTGGAATGGGCTGGGTGGAGCCACCGCCCAAGAAAAAAGGATCAGGGCCTGTTGACGAGGCGCCCTTCCTGCGACCAAAGGGCATGGGCCTGGGGGCAGACAAAGCACTCAAACCCAAGGCGCTTCTTGTGCAGCCGGAGAAGAATGAGGTGCTGGAGATCAAGAAGCAAGCCTTTGTCCGAATCCTAGGTGGAAAACAGAAAGATCAATACGGGCAAATAGAGGGATTCGATGACCACGCGGGGCGGGTGATTGTCAAGATGGCAATTGGTGGCAACAAGGAGGCATTCAATGAGTTTCTCTGCCAGCCCGTGTCCCGCAAGGAGTACTCGCAGTATGGAAAGTGCATAAGTAAGTGAACCCCGCCAACTTTGGATTGCAAGAAATCACTGAAACCCAAACCCATTGTATTCGAATTTCAGATAGTGCCAAATACAATGAGTTCAAAAAGCAGGAGAACGAACATGGCCAAATCATTGTGAAGCAGGAGAAACCATCGGAGGGCAGGAGCAGAGACCGTAGGGAGGAGAGCAAGTCTTATAGGAATGAAGATCGGGATCGTAAAAGCTATAAGGGGGAGGGGGATCAGAGATCGTTCAAAGATGAAGATCGACGGAGCTACAAGGATGAAGACCGCAAATCATGGAAATCGGAGAGTCGCAATGACAGGAATGACAGGTCGGAGAAAGTCGAAAGCAAACCCATCAAGGGCGATGATCGAAGGCACCACAAACTGGATGATCATGGAGATAGAAAGAAATATATCCAGGACCCGCGGAGCAGCAGCTCTTCCGCACACAGGACGAGCACCATGCAACATCAGCGCGAGGAGCGTGAGAGGCGACGTTCGACGAGCCCAAGGAGCAGTCGGCGGCAGAAGAGCAGCTCAGACGAGGCGGACGACACGGGGGAGTCCACGGAAAGCGATTCGGACTCTGCCTACGAGCGCAAGAAACCCAAAAAAAAGGCTACTAAAAAGTCTAAGAAGCACTCAAAGAAATCTAAAAGCAAGTCGAGCCGGGCCAATGACTCCAGCGCGGAAAGCGACGATAGCTTAGACGAGCATCGCAGGCACCCAACCAAGCACAAAAAGAAAACAAAGAAGAGCAAGCATGCCCGATCCCGATCAAGGTCCAGATCGCGGGGACGAGGCAAATAATAGGCTGATTTGATCTATTCATTTGAATTCTTTATTTAAATATAGTTAGACGCTTAGGTTTCTTTTGTATCTTACGCGGGATTATCATTAAATTTGAGTTAACTCACAAAATAATCACAAAAATGTCTTTTGTTGCGCTTTCCATTTCTCACATCGGTCGCCTCTCTCCTCTTGACCGAGCGGACAATCTTTTGCTATGCCATTAAGAACCTAAACTATAAATTGTGATGGGGCGAACACCACGATGGGCTGTTCGAGAGTTTCAATAGATGGTTTGCTTATCGTTTATGATATAAATAGTTCTTGCGATGCTCCACAGTTCCACAGATGTTTGTTTTGTAAATGCGTTTTGCGATGTGCGTGATGTGATGTAATGGCGAATTGATGATGACTTAGGTTTGTTTAATATTTGGTCATATGTGATGGCTGTGTGTGGTGCATAGGGGACGAGGAGCCGATGCTTAGCTCTCTACTGCAGCTTCCGCTTGCCGCATTGAATTTTCTCGTTGATGATCTTGGAGGCCTTCTGTGTGATGCCCTTGAAGACGTCCTTCTCCTGCAGACCAGGCCACATGGCAATCAGAAGAGTGCCAATGTACATCAACAGAAGATTGTTGACGATGGCCCCAATCCAAGCCAGGGCCAGGAGGACCACGCTTATCATGATCACGAACTGGGGAGGGAATCCCAACCGTTAATGCGTTTGTGGCAGCCAATTGTGTTCTCGTTTGTATGTGTACTTACCACCGTCGACTTGCGCTCCTTAAACAGATACTCATACCATACGCCCAGGTTTGCCTTGATGCTGTGCATCTGTCCGCACACTTCCTCGAATTTGGCTTCGTGGTCTCCATCCCAATTGACGCCACTGAAGAGCAAGCGGGAAATTGTGGGGAAGACATAATCCAAGACGGTAGTCAGCAGTGCCAGGAGCGACAGCATAGTTATGACCGATAGATCCATGAACCAGAGCACGAGATAAATGATGCTTATGCTACCAAACACCACGCCAGGATAGTAGTTCTTCTCCCAGGTGAGGACGCCATAGGCACTCACTATAGCCGTTCGAAAAGGCTCCAAATCGTGCTTTAGCTTGTTCAGTGCACGCTTCTGCAATGTAATGTTAAATTTTCATCACAATTGAGGCGGCACCGCTGGTTTTTTGGGTATGTGTATTTTTTTCCACAATGGCGACGACATTTGCCCAGCCGCACATCAAACTCATTGTCTCGACATTGGCTTAGCTTACCTGGTCAACCTGCGATGTTGTCATCTTTGCTGTTTTCTGTTTCGTTTCGACTTGAATTGCAGTTGTGAGCGTAGTTGCTGCCTTAATTAAAGCGAAAAATCAATTTTTTAAGCGCCCAGCCAACGCCAATGTTGTCAAAACAGTGTTTCACAACGCCAAAAAGTAGTCGAGCTTTTCTCGATTACTCTACTCCGATTGATTTGAAAGTGACAGGGCACAATCCAGCACAAAATTGTATATATTTTAACAAGTCACAAAGCGATTCAAACATGAGCTGTCCTGGATTTGGCGAAGTTAATATACCCTCGTCGCGCGCCTTCTGGGATGACTGCGAGGAGGACGAATTCGAAAACGTTGGCCAGGCCGAGAAGTGAGCGATTCTGTTCTGTGATATTTACCTGAGCTAACGAATTTATTTCCCAAAACAGGTTGCAGTTGAAGTTCGACGGGGAATCTGGCCCGGATGTGGCCGCCCTGCAGAGCGAGATTCTGGTTGTCATCGAGGGCCCTAACGTAACACACTTTGGCAGCTCTGTGCTGTTGAATGGCACCAAACGCGTATGCGGCATTCCCCCAAAGACATCTTCGCTGCACTGGAATCCGGCTACAAAGCAGCTGCTGGCTGTTCTCGAAGATGACCTCACGAGCAGTGGGGAGGTCACAGAGCTGCTCCTACCCTACGCCAAATTGGCCAAGAAGGTATTGACCATCACGCTGAAGCCAAAGGTCGACTTTAAGAGCGAGGAAATTCAAAAATATAGTGACGACATAGCCATTGTGCGTGGGGTGGGAGTGAACGAGAAGGATACGACTGAGCTCGAGGCTCCCAACTTTATAGCCGGCGTGGCGGCGGGCAGTAAGTATGCTGAGGAAGCGACAAAGAATCTAAGATTCCTGAGCTCTTGTGTTTATTGCAGTTGCCAGCTGGCGAAATCAGGCAGACCTGCCCGTGAGCTCGTTTGTAGTCTACACCGACAAGCTGCCCTTGGACTCGACGGCTGCCCAGCCAGTGCTCAAGCTGCTCAAAGCGATTGGGGTGTCGTGCGGCCCCAGCTACGTGCCGGCGCGCAAGGAGAGCTCCTACTTGTACATGTAAATTAATTGCGGTGCAGATTTTTATTTTCCATGCGGTTTCGGTAGCAACATTTCACAATAATCAATTTACAATGATGGACATGACTTATTTCAATACATCAAACATGCTCAAGTTCAAGTCCCGGCTGCGGCTCTCCATGTGAGCCTTGGCGATGGCAATGAATTGGGGGCGCTGGAGCATCGAATAGGCGGGCACGATCAGCGAAGATGCAAGCATGTGGAGTTCCTTGTGGCCGCTGCTGAACAAGTCGATGCCCAGCTCCAGGGCACAGCCAAAATCGCTTTCGTCCACAGCGATGATAGCAGCGTTGGCCACTGGCTGCAGCTTTTCCAGCACAGCCTGTTTGGCAAGGCCATCGCCGAGATCTTTGCGCTCAAACAACGCCAATATCTTCTTGAGCTCGGCGTCGCTAACAGAGAGAGGGCGGTAGCCCAGCTGCGTCCTGCGATCGAAGGGAACCACGATGCCAGCTCGGTGGAACGCCTTGGCCACGACGCGTTTGTTCCGCTCTCGCTGCAATCGATCTAGTGGCGCCAGCTCCAATGAGTTTTCAGCCAAATACTTTTGTACCGCCTTTTTGGTGGCATTTACTTTGCCGGCCGTAAAAGGCGTGCCGACAAAGTCGTGCTCCAGGTAGTAAAGGAAAGCATCGAATATGTTTCCGGACACAAACTGAAACTCGCAGCCACTCGCCGTGTCGTTGCGGGCAATCAACAGGTTCTCCTTGTCCTGCGGCACGTCCCGCCAATAGCCGTAGTGCACGCCAGTGCCCCGCCGCACGAAAACAGTCTGGAACTCGGGGGGATCATAGTAAAAGCGCCAATGCCTTAGGTAATCTCCGGGCTCGCCCATCCTGGCTTGATGAAAAATGCCAGACAGAAACTCAAACGGGCCCACCAGCTGCAGCTGAAACACAGTCTCGAGGTGCTCGACGGCAGCGCTTGGCTTCGAGGGGTCGTGTGCGAGGGTATTGAGGAACTTCCAGAATTCGTAGAAGTCTGGCGGCATTTCGACGAGGAATTTGTGCCTGATGAACTCGTTGGACTCGCACAGGGTATCGTACTCCTGCTGCACCGACAATCGAATGCGCTTCTCCATGATTTCCATGTAATTTTTTCCGGATATGTTGCTCATGGCCTCCCTGTGCAACACGGCCGTCTCCGACTCGTAGGTGCCCTTTGCTTCCCCATGACTCTCCATCTGGCTGTCTCCACTGGAATTGGTTGTGTCGGGCTCGACCGCCTTTTCCTCTCCACAGGAAGCGGTTCTTTTTGGCGCCAATTTTACTGATTCTGCTTTGTCATCTGCTCTGCCTGGGTGGTTGTACTTGGCCAGGTGGGCCTCATTGCGTTGATAGCACTTTTCCCCGTACTTGCAGTCCTCTTTGGGCATTTTTCAGTTTAAAATAATAATTAATAATTCAACAATTTGTGTAAACAAAATAACAAACTTCTCAATCAGTGCTGCCGATTCCGCTTTTTTTCCGTAAAATCTGGCTGTTTTTGAAGACTGATAGTTTCATTGATACCGATAACTCGTTTCATTATTTCATTGATAATTTCATTATTTTCATTGATAACGATAACTGCGTTTCATTATTTCATTGATAATTTCATGCTTTTTTCTTTGATAGAGTGAGGGCGGAGGGGCGGAGGGGCGGAGGAAATGCCCAACGCCACAGTCTGGCTATGATTGGGCTGAATTATATTCTGGCAGCCAACACAATGAAGCCTCTGCTCCACGTCTGGCCCTTTCTCCAGATGGCGCGTACCTGGTATATCTGGCACATGAACACTGGCCGCATGCTGAGCACCCTCTCTGGATCTCACCTTCTCAGTTGCACCGCTGGAGAGGCTCCTACCTATACACAGTGTCCCTAGACCGCTGCTGCAACGTATATGACTTGAGCGGTGGCATCATGCTCCTCAGCATTGTGTTCCCAGTAGCACTGCACAGCGTGGTTGTCAATAGGATGGAGACTAGCATGCAATCTGAGGATTTGGGTTTGGTTTTAATATTGTAGTTCATTCAATGAATACAAACTGCGAAAACATCGAAGAAATTTTGATGGTTGGATTGTTAGTAGAGCTACAGGTATATATGGGCAGGCGTTTTACAATAAAAAACACAATCTTATGATAGAATATGCGACTAATCCTCGACAGCACACATGACCGAGTAGACGCACTCCTCCTTGTTGATCAAGTGGCATGTTTTGTTCACCAGGGACATCAGCTGATTGACGTCGGTGGCCCAGTTGTTCAGGATGTCGGAGGCGCTCTTCTTCGTGGTGAAATAGATAATACCAGCGGGGCGGTCGATCTTCACTCGAATTGTGTCGCTGTTGGCCAGCTTGGACAGATATTCCTCACAGCGGCTTGCGGGCAGATTCAGCAGCTCACTCATACGCGCTAGGTGAAGCCGGGAGTAGTACATGGCAATAATGCGAATATTCTAAAACAAATGTAACGACATGGGATGAGCCTTCCCCTCAGTTTATGAATTTAACAGCTTACATGCTCTATCAGACGATCCTTGAGCTCGGCAATGCATTTCTTTCCATGCTTGGTGGCATCCTTGAACATATCGTTTTCGGCCAATACCAAGCCAAAGTCGGCGTTAAATGTATCAAAGTTAATCAGCTCCTTCGACATGAAAAGGCGCAGAATTTCCCTAAAAAAATTTTATAAAAACTCAAATCTGCGACTAATCTGCTCTTCCATTTCATACTTGTAGACGGGCACATCCTCCAGTTTCTTGTTTTTGGACAAGTAGGCCATCATGTCGCTTTGCTCGTTGTCGTACGGGGCCAGGACACAATAGATTACAGCACAGACCAGTTTGTCCGTCAGCTCCTTTTTCTGCGATTCAGTCAGTTCGACCTCGACTTCCGGCTCTGCTGCGGCCTCAGACTTTTTGTCCTTTTCATCCTCATCCTTCTTCTTCTTGTCATCATCAAGTTTCTTCTTCTCATCCGTGGCGGCAGAGTCGACGGGTGTGAGGGCAGCCTTTTTACGCGACGGCTCTGCAATGGCCTGGTAGTGACGCGAAGTGTTCAGAAAAGATGTATCGCGGTTAAGTTGGATCATTAGGTTGTAGAACTTGAGCTTGAGATCATGCTGAGCCGGATCGTCGAAGAACTTGATGCTGATCTTCTTGGCTATGATTTGGGTCGACACATTGTCCTCCTTCAGCAAACAGAGACGCATTTGCTCCAAAATGAGCTCAACCTTCTCACGCTTGTCCATGGAGCCGTACGTCTCCACCTGCAGCTCTTCCATGACAGTCGCTGCCGCTGCGATGTCGCCATCGGCCTCCTTGATGTCGGCCAAGGTTTTGGTGAGTCGAGCACGCTCTATTTCCACATAGATCTTTCCCTCAGTGACCGAGCGCAGCGTGTCTATCAGCTTGAGCTTGGTCTCTTTGTTGGGCGTTTTGTCCACGTACGTGCAGCACTCCTGGATCATCTTCACGACAGCCTGCTTTAGCTGGGAGCGCCTACGCACCAGAAGAGTGACGTACTCATTTAGGGCATTCCAGTTGGATGCATCGAAGCATATCTGGCAAATCGCGACCAGGACGCGCGAGCACGACACCATGTCAGCGCCAAGACGCGTCTGTTTCTCCAGTTGCAGCATCATCTCGATAGCTTCGTGGAAGGCGTCGGGATTCTTTTTGGCCAGCTCCTTTGCCAGCGGAATTTTCTCGTTGCAGGCAGGCTCATAGTCCACCTCCATTTTAGTGATGCGGCCCCCATCGAACAAGTAGGTATCCATTGTGCACTAAAAACAATCAAATCAAACCAAACATTCAATGCGTTTCTCGAGGCGGCAGCGCTATGACGAGGCATTTTTGTTACTTACCTCTTTTACCGCTGTTATTCCACAAAGATCAGATCAAGGTAGTTGCAATTGGCGAAATGCAAGTAATCCTACGAGGTTGGTGCTAAGCTCTCACTTTTTCTCCTTCGTGATGCTCTTTAAAACACAAGCGCCGCCGATTTTTGTGATTAATTATTATTTCAGCACAAATTCTGCTTACAAATGCTGTGTGAAGTTGGGTGCGCCGGTTGCCAGTGCTGGAAAGTGTTTGCAGGAGACTATGATTTTGAAATATAAATCAAATGGAAATAGTGAAAGAGTTGAAGTGAAAATAAATAATATTGAATAATAAACAAAAATAGTACAAATTAAGAGCAACAAAAAATTTCAACGAATAGGACAATGAAAGGGCGATTCGTAAGTTGTGCAACACTTATTTCGGCTGCATTCGGCTTAGAGGTGGAGAAACCAAAAAATTTTAAGGCATCGATGCATCGATGTTTTTCCACCTCTAGTTCGGCTTCGGTCATTTGTTTAGCCGCGAAAAATTTTCTAACAAACAATTAACAAAACAGTGAATTGAACTTGCACAAACACTTACTGAGCTAGAATTAACTGGACTTACTACTCCATAGCCCCAAAAGCGTTTGCTGTTTCGACGGTACAGCTGCTATAAGCACATTTTGCGGCCCAATTTAAGACGCGGTAAAAAAAAGGCAAAAATGGCTCAAATCCAAGAATACCAGGAGTACTTGCTGGACGCCCTCGAGGTCGTAGACTTCAAATTGAGTAAGTTGCATAGTCTGCAGCACACCTTGATCTGGTACTGCAATGCGTCTGTTTCTAGTACGCGACAAGACGGACATCCACAACGACGCTTTGATTTTCCACCCCGCAATGGCTCATCAGATATTTGGCGAGACTGAGACCATTTTCGGGTATCAAGACTTGCACGTGCGCGTGCTCTATACGGCCGGACCGTTGCACATTTACTTGGGCGTGGAGTATGGGAGTCGTGTGAACGAAGTGTCTGGCGGTGAAATGAATGCGGACGATGTGGTCGCCACCATTGCGCAGAGTTTGCCAGATGGCTGCTACTTCATCAACCTAGATGAGTTTCTGAAGACGCTGGACAAGGCGGACAAGTTCCAGCCCTTCGGCGAGAAGATCGGCGAGTACACACGGCCCTCTGATGACGGCAGCGAGAGGCTGTTCGAGGTCTATCAGTGTGACTACAAAGTTGCATCTTTTTTGAAATTCTTTGCGCGCCTGCAAACGTTCATCCTGTGGTTCGTGGACGCTGCCTCCTACATAGACACGGATGACGCCCAATGGTGCTACTTTGTTTGGTAAAAGAGAAGGGAACACAATTTTTGTTAAGGTCTGCTCTCTAAACAACAACTTTCTTGCAGCTATGAAAAGTATAAGAACGGCGATGGCCAGTATCAGTATGCCACAGCAGGGTACACAACCGTGTACGAGTACTATGCCTATCCGCAGAACAAGCGGCCAAGGATTAGCCAAATGATGATATTGCCCCCCTTCCAGAAGCTGGGTCTGGCCACGCAACTAGTCGAAACTATATACAAGTACTACCAGTCGCAGAAGAACGTGGTGGACATCACTGTTGAGGATCCGTCGGAGGACTTTCAGCGGCTGCGAAACTTTGTGGATGCGCGCTTCTGCAGGGAGCTAAAGTCATTTGCCCGCATCGAGATCGTCAAGGGCTTCAGCAAGGAAATGGTGAGGGAGGCTCGCGAAACACTAAAACTTAATCCGCGACAGGTGCGAAAGGTATACGAGCTGCTGCGCCTATACTATACCAATGTGAATGATGACAAGGAGTACAGGAACTATCGTCTGGAGGTAAAGAAGCGCCTGAATGCAGTATACTACAAGCAGATAAAGGACCTCAAGAAAATGGAGCGCCACAAGATAGACACGGAAATGATGCGAGCCCGTTTGCCCAACATGAAGCAGCGTATACAGCAGCTTCAGGAGGAATACGCCGTGGTCGAGCAGGACTACAATAATACCATTGCCAAGCTGAATGCCTAAACGAAGGAATGGGTGTCGAGTAATTTATTTTTCGTTTTTCGTTCTAAATATGTTGATTACAAAATACATTTTGTTGCTATAAGCCTTCTGTAGGATTCTGTCGAATAAATATTAAAAATTACATACATACATACGTCCTTTATGTGTACATATTTGTGTATCGGAAATTACCATGTGCGCATAGAGGGGCGTGGCTGAGGGCTGAGGACTGAGAGCTGAGCGTGGGCCACTTGAGCAATTAAGCGTATACAAAATAATTATACATACATAGCTAACGCCGCATCGCATATTGTTTATACAGTATTAGCTAATAAAAATTATTGCAATTGTAGGTTGGGCTACGTTGGAAGTACGCACGGGAGAAGGGAATGCAGTCTGATCAAAGACATGGGGAGGGGGAGTGCTGTAGCAGCAACCCGTACAACTAGCAGGAGCCGTACTCCTCCATCCACTTCTCGAATCGGGCTACATCGTCGGCAGAAACGGACTTCTTGGTGCGCTGTCGCGCGTCCTGGAAGTCCTGCAGCGTGATTGGGAGATCGACGTCTTCGCGGCGTATCTGCTTAATCTCCTCCGGAGTTCGCCCCGAAATGAGTCGACGCATGGCCATCATGGATGCGTCCCGGCACACGTTGCTTATGTCCGAGCCGGAGTACCCCTGCATCTCCTCCCCGATCATGGCCGTGTTGAGGTTAGGGGACAGGCAGACATCCTTCAGACAAAGCTTGAGCAGTGCCGAGCGCGTTTCCTCTGTCAATGGAGTGGGAATGGAATGTGGAACAGGTACCACCACCTTCAGGCACTTACCGTTCGGCAGCGGGATATAGATCCGCTTCTCGAAGCGTCTCCTGAAGGCTTCGTCGATGTCCCAGGGATGATTTGTGGCTGCCAATACCATGATTACCTTCTCCTCCTGCATGCTCGCATTGAGGCCATCCATTTGTATGAGCAGCTCCGCCTTGAACCGCCGGCTGGCCTCGTGCTCCGAGTCGCTGCCCCGCGAGGCGCAGAGTGCGTCGATTTCGTCAATGAAAATCGTGCTCGGCGCATAGAAGCGCGCCATTTCAAAGAGCAGGCGCACCAGCTTCTCGCTCTCCCCGCGGTACTTGGATGTGAGTGTGGAGGAGGACACGTTGAAGAAGGTGGTGCCACACTCCGTGGCCACTGCCTTGGCCAGCATGGTCTTGCCAGTGCCCGGCGGACCCACCATCAGAACGCCCCGCCACGGCCTTCGAATTCCCTTGAAGAACTCCGGCATGATTACGGGAAGTACCACCGCCTCCTGCAATTGAATGCCGAACCCGTACCCGTACCCGTACCGTCTTCAGTGATTGGCCAAAAGGGGAAACAAAGAAGCAATTAGTTCACCTGCAAGATGGTCTTGGCCTCGTTTAGGCCAGCCACGTGAGTCCACTTAATGCGGGGGTGCCGCTGCAGGATGTCCTTCTCCAAAGTGTCAACCAAGCGCCCTTCGTAGCCCAGTGGCGAGAAGTGCTTGGCCTTGGTCTTCGGGGAGCACTTGGGTGTGTTGTGCGTGGTGGAGATTGATTGTGCCTGAGAGTTGTCCTCCAGAGATGTGGTGGCATCCTGGTCGTCGGAGTTGGAGTTCTCGTCCAGCGAGTTCTTCTTCATCGGCTTGTGCTTGAGCGTCATTTGTGCGTTTATGCTTTGTTTGCGGGCCCGCAAGCGCTCCACGGATCGACTCTTGCGCACGGCAGCAGCCATAGCTGAAGCCCGCCCCGGCCGGCCAAACCGCATGGCTCCCACACTGGGGGCGCCTGCGGGTCCACTTCCCGCCAGGCCCACTCCCACATTCGCGGCACTGCCGTGGTGGCTCTGACTGAGGTTCTGGCTGTTGCTGTTGCTGTTGCTGTTCGCATTGCTGTTGATGGAAGGCAATGTGGGCTGGAGCTCTGGGTCGCGCCGTCTCAGCGATGAGACCCAGCGGTTGTCCTGCTGCTGGGAGGGGAAAGGCATCGCCGGATGATTGGGCCGCGGCTGAGGGGCGACTTCTGTGGCGGAGACTGGGTTTTATCAATGAGGTAAGGATATTTACCCCCTACGAGCACTCACCTTGCGTGGGCAGACGCTTGCTCCGCAATGGAGCAGGTTCGCCGATGCCCAGCCCGGCCGGAGCGTTGGCTCCCAAGTTGTTGATCGGCCTGTGCTGCTGGCGGTCGGCTGCCGTCGCATGTCCGCTCTCCACTGTGGTCTTCTTGACACACGTATTGGAGGTGCGTGAGGGTCGGCTGGTCGCTGTGATCTTGGTGAAGCCGAATGGCGACAGCGAGTCCAGTATCAACGTGTCCATCATACGGGCCATGTGCGACAAGCTCGTGGGGGGTGTGGAAGAGCTGAAAATTAAAGGAGTTGTCTAAAGTTGTCTGTTAGGTTGATAAGTCTATGACCCCAAACACATAATTTTACCGCTTTAAGTATAAAGCTAAAAACCGATTTCACCTTAATATTAATGTAAATACGCAATAGAATTCATTTAGTAAGGATCGAACACACACATCTTCTACGAGTATATTCCTTTGTACACCCAAAAGCATTTAGCATTTACCATTTACCATTCTGATGGTTGTAAAGCATCCAAGATTGGGCCGAGTGCCCAGACCTGCATTTCTATCCCTACCAGAAGACTCTTTTCCACAGCAGAACAGAACTCAGCCCTCGTTTGGCTTTACTTTTGTTGGTGAACAAGAATTTCTTTTTGGTTTATAATCCATAAGTTTTCCGCTTGATCCTGGGCTCTTGCCATTAAACTTGGCCGTGTCGCAAAGGTCGTTTGCTTATCAGCAGCGGACAGTAGTGGCGCGGCAGGTCCTTTGCGTGTCCTGCTCCGTGCATACAAACGTATGTACATACATATATTTTCTATACATGAACGTATTCCTCGTGTCTGGCCAAGTCTGGCCAAGCAGCCTGTCTAATATTAGCTAGCCCTTTCCCCCTCACCTTCACTGACAATGCTCAGGAATTTCTAGGAAGCGACGAGTTCGTGTGGGGGCCCCAAGGGCCCGAACCCAAGGGCCATATGCAGAACAGTCAGCCGCTAGCTGTTGGCAGGAGGGTTCAATAAACTTGTTGGCTCTCGAAACAGGTTATTGACGTGCCGGCGACAATACAATTGTTAACTTTTTATTCGCATTTGGGGCTGCTATTTGCATGCGTCATCCGAAGGCATTAAACCACTTACATACCATGCCATACCAAAACAACATTTAGAGGCAACTCTGTGCTGAGCTTCCATCTGGGAAGTATACCATAATATATTTTTTGTACGCCTCTCCTGGCTAATTGAGTTGGCCGCTGCATTGCCATGCCATAACTCTTGTTTCTGCCGCCTGCCGCCTGCCTCCACATCACATCCGTTTCATATTTATTGTGTGCTGTACTCGTTCAAATTTGGGTTAATGTTTCCTATGCGCTCGCCTACGATTTCCGGCGGGACTGGGAATGGGCAGCGCTCCACTGATTAGCAGCAACTAACTAGGTCATCTCGGACCCCGATTGATATGCGTTTATTTTTCCTATGTACTTCTCTAGGTAGTCCCAGTATCAATGGTATTACTCCCATACCTGAGGACATTTATTGACTGGGAAAACTGTTACAAGGCCGGCACTGGCATGGAAAATAACCAAGCAGGGGCATTTCGATGATGGGCCAGAGTCTAGTCTTAGTTTACGACGTTCTCTTTAAGATTCGTGTCACCAGAGGTGTTTATGCTAATTCCTTCCACAGAAAAGCCATTGCCACCGCGAAAACAACAACGCTTTGGCCTATGCAAATTAAAGTCAGCAAATGGCAATTATGACTGGCACAATATGTTAGGAAGCCGCAGCCTGAAGGAAACTGAAGGATAGAGCGGGGTCGGTTGGGGTAACACGGGGCATTATATTGGAGTTGAATTCCTGGAAATACCTTAGTTAACCGAACGAAACTAATGTACTAAATACAAGATTGAAGATATGACTACCGATGATCGACTTACAATTTCACATTTGGGGGACAATAAAAAGGAATTTCTTGCATGTTCGAGTAGGGGGAAGGAAACTGTTTGTCTATTAAATCTCTTAGTGGAGTGCATGGCATGGTGCGTGTGGGGTAGTTTCATGGTTTCAGCCTCCTTACCACTGGTGCAGATCCCATAGCGAATGATATGGTGTGTGTCTGTAGGCAGAGACAAATGGTACGGCCACCTCGTACTCCACCTGCACATTGGGGGGCGACTGTGGACGAAGGGCCAGGGCAGTGCGCTCAAGGGCTGGATTGGAGCTGGTCAGCGAACGCTGCCGCATGAAAGGCTGCTGATGCTGATGCTGCTGCTGCTGCTGCTGCTGGTGATAATGATTCGATTGGGCGCCTCTGGAATTATTGTTCAACAGCTGGGCAACGCCGCCGGCGGGAGCAGTCGTGGTCTGGCCCATGCCGAACCAGTTCTGGGTACTTGTGTTGAACATATCGCTGTGCTGTCTATCGTCGCACGATCAGTCGGACATATAACATAAACTCCACTTAAAATTTAAAAACACACACACTTGAAACGAAACGATTGATAAAAATGATTTCCCTGACAGTGTTTTCTGAGCCGGGACAGCCGGAAAAACCGTACTGAAGGCAACAACACAACAACAATTATACGAGTATGCACGCGTCGCGAGCGAGGCGTTCACCTGACAACTCAAGGGTTGTACACCAACTGACCACGGGACTGGAACTGGACGACGCGTCCACAACAAAAAGGACCAACGGCGACGACGCTGCTGGCACGAGTAGCTTTGGTGTGTGTGTGTGTGCCTCTGTGTGAATGCGAATTGAGGTTAAAGGAAGTATTGCCTGCTTGGGGCGCTGCTTTGGGGCGGTTTCAATCACAAAAACAATATACATATACTCGTATGTATGCCCATGGAGAGGTTATAATAACTTCAAGGAAAGAAAGCTGGACAACATAGATAAGATCGGATCGATTGGCTTACACCGATTGTGCAATGGGTTTGTTAGTATTCCTTCTCGTCTACATAATTAAAATTAAATTCCGATTGAAAATGAATTCATAAAATTATCGAATTTTAGTGGATTGCAAACCGTTAATGTGGTTTTAATTCGCACCTAATTAAGCTCTCAATTTTTTACCAGAAAGGTCCGAGAAAAACAATTTCCATAGGTGAATGTTAATTGATCCTTGCATGAGAGTCCCTTGAAATCGCTGCAGCACCATTGCTTAATCGACTTACAACTTATTAGAGGTCGAATAATGGATGTTAATATTTTCGTGACTAGATTAATTAATGTTCATGAAAGTATACCATAACTTGCAATTTAGTGTGTATGAAAATAAACTAAAAAGGGCATTTAATATTCGATGTGAGGGGTTTCGCGGTGCTTTGTTGCTTGTATGTAGTATTACCCAACGCCTGGCCTGGCCTGGCGGACAGTGGTCAATGCACGCTAGGGCAAAGCTACCGTTGGCTCAAGCTGGAGAATCCATCGATTTCTGTGGAAGCGAGGCGCTACACAAAAAACCATGTGCGCTGTGTGTGTGTGTGTGTGTGTGTGTGTGTATTTATCCACTCAAGTGGGAACGAGTTCTTAATAATTTGCCGGCAATGTAATTTAATGGCTGGCTTGCATGCCGGGTCTTGGTCTCGAGTTGCAATCGGAGAACCCCAAGAAAATGTAGCATACATTCGAGAGCAGCGAAACAGTGCTGCTGAAGTGCTGCGTCAACGGTGCTGTGCTGAGACTCTGAGCAAACGACACCGAAGGTCGCTACGGACACACACTCATAACAGCACGGCTATATCGTACATCTGCAGGAGCATGCGAAATCAGCTGCAGCTGAGATAAAAATCGATGCCAGAACATACGCACTCAGACGTCCGCGGAACGGGGCCCACTCCCAGCCCAAGCAGTCAAGGCACGTTGGAGTACACCGGCACGCCCGTCTCAGGCCTCCATCTGCTACCCCCATCCGTGCTCGCTAAGGCTACGGTCCCCGTCCCCCTGCTCACTTACCTAGTGGGACTCATCACGGGCAGGTAGGACGTGCAGTCCACGGTCCGGATGGTAGTGTTTCCACGCAGCACAATCTTCTCGCGCGTCGTCCGCCTGTAGGTCGTCTCCTCGCCGCGCATCTTGGGTCTGGTCTTCAAATTTGTTTAATTTTAATAATTTTGAATTTTCTTCACAACTTTTAAAAAGAAAAACCAAATATTTTCTTGTTTACTTTGATCCAAAATGGTGTGTTGGAAAATTTTCTATATGCTCCTCTCACAGCCAAACGAATAATAAGGACTGCGAGAGCGAGCGAGTGGATGCTGTGGATGGATGCTTTGGAGCAGCTCTGACGGCTCTCTCTTGCTCACGTATCTCATAGCGTTTTCTCTCTTCTCGCTCTTTTCCTCTCCCAGTCTCTCCTCGCAGGGTGGCGTGGCCAACAATTGCGCAATTTTCGACAACACCAGCGACGAGGACGAGGACGATTACGAGGCTGTTGCTGTGGACGCTGTCCTCCACTCGCATCAATGCACAAATGGTCACTAAAGCGTCGGACTGTTGTGGCCGTTCGGCCACATTGCAACGTTCGTACAAGGGGTTGATATGATATGCATGGGTGTTGGGGTATTTGTTTTGGAAAAACCCCCTAAAACCCCTCTACATTTTGAATACGTATGGATAAAGCCTCAAAAAAATAATAATAATATTTACATTTTTTCCAGAAATAAGTTTTGATTATTTTTTGTATTTAAAGTCTGGTTTGGATGGTCGGGAAATTAATGTGTTTGTTTTGGTTCGGAATGAGCGGATAACCTTTCGCTGGTCCATAGTGGCCTATGGATATTATAGGTAGGTATTCTTGTACAGCAAGTGAATTTAACTACATTCCTCTTGTTTGGCTATAGTTTAGACTTAGAAACTTAATGAATTGCAAGCAATCCATGCAATTGCATGGATATAATGTCTTCTCTACAAGGATGTTCTTTAGAATTTACAGATTATCCGCTGGGAACAAAACTTTTTTAAAAGTGTACACAATAAAAAGGGAATTGAAATTATGCTGAGACAATTATTTTTTTAAAAACAAAAACTCCTTCGCTGATTGCCAAATAAAGAAGACAATACGTGTTTTTAACCCACTCAGAAGAACAAATATATATGTATCTTTATTGATCAATTTTTAAAAAACTACTTAAAAATTCGGAGAACAAGATACGATTTAAAAAACACTTTAAAATTGACTTTAAAATTAAATTCTCAATCTTTTTATCTTTGATTTGACTGTCTCTCGTTACGCTACGCTACGTTACGTTACACAGTACAGTACGTTACCACATATCATATTATTGGCGATCAGAACTGGATAAACTTTGCTTCATATGTCATTTGCATGTCAGTGTATAGTAACTAGTATTATGGGGCAGTTTCTCAAACCTCTCGACACTCAACACACAGGCTGACGCTGTGTGCTCAAAATCAGTTACAAATAATAGCGAAATGAATTACAAACGGTTTTGAAAGTCGTAGAAAAAGAAGACTAACTAAGACCTATCCACGAAGACGAAGTACTCATCCATAGACATGAACATAGATATATATGCGTGTATATACTGTATATATATATAATTGTGTGTAAATATATATAAAACGTTTCTAACAAACACGAGGCACGTCGAAATGTAAGTAAGCAAAAATGAAGTTGTCTAAGTTTTTGGTTTTGCTTCCGACTCGGGGAATTTTGGTGGCTTCAGTTGCTTTGTCGTCTTCAGTTGACTTCACTTCACAAGGCTGCGTGTGTACACATTCGATTAGGGTGTATATAGTGTGAAGTGTGTATGTTGTATATGGATAATGTCTGTTTTTTATTTAATCTTTGAACGGTTTAACTCTCAACTAACAATAACTTTAACGTGATTCTATTCTCGTTTGGCCTCGAAAATATGTGCTCCTCTCCTCTGCTCTCCTGTAAGACTAAAATGTGCGATACCTTAACAGCTGCATTATCTTCGTTTAGTTTAGTTTCTGTACGCTTTGTGCACTAGAGATTAGTTTAAGTTCCAAATTATTTACATCTAGCCCTACAGCGTTTCGCTTTGACGCTTTAGTGGTTTGGTTTGGCGAGTATTTAGTACTTTCTCCGCAACCTCAACTCGACTTCGACTTCGACATCGACTTTACTGGAACTTGCGCGTGGCAGTTCGGGCCCTCCAGACCTTGACCAGATTGAAGGCAAAATACAGCGTGAATCCGTGGACCTGGAAGCCCACAAAGCAGAAGGCGTACCAGAACACTCCATAGGGATAGCCCTGCAAGCAAGAATTTCGAATTTAGTGGGATGTTCTGTATACTGGAGCTGTTTTCCCACTTACGCGCCAGATGAAAATGTCCGTCTCGTCCAGCTCCACGGACTTGTCCATGGTCGCAAACTCCCACACGTCCGAGAAGTAGTAGGCGAAGCAATAGAGTAAGGGCAGGATGGCGAACACCAGAATGGCGATCATGTATTTCTGCATTTCACGCACCTTGTTGCCACGTGCCGCAGACAGGCCCAGGAACGAGGTGAGCAGCGAACCGGCCCACACGTACTCCCACCAAAGCGGCGGAGGCACCTCTAGTTCCTCAATCTCCAGCACGAAAATGTCCAGGCGATCCAATATGTCCGATGTCAGCTTGGCCAGCATCACGAAGAAGAGAAGGGCATGGAAGAAAATGCAGTACTTCAATCGTGATTTATTCAACAAACTGCAACGACAAGAGAAGGTTTCCACCGTGAATAGCTGTCTCTGGCTTGCTTCCTGCTGCGACCCTATGCTCAAACATGTACACAATCAGTGTTACTGCCACTGGCAGCCAGGCTCTTGCCATGCCATGCTGGCACATTGCCCACCAGGGTAGCGCAAGCCGTCTGCTCCGTCCGAATGGGTGTTCTGTCCACGGTGTGGGTGCTGGGGGGCCACGGCCACATCTCTCCTGCAGCCTGCTTGGCTAAGGTAAGCCTTGGCCGTCGCAGCTACTGTGGCAGCGGCTAGTAATTAGATAATTTCCTGCCGTCGGGTGTAGGTGTTCAGGGCAAGTGTTTTCGAGTGTTATTAACCTAATTTGATATGTGCCAGCTACGCGCTGCCTGAACTCGAAGTCGTTGCCGTCGGTTCCCGCGACCGTTGGACCGCCGCGTGTTGCCATTTCGTCGCCGTCGTATTTCGTTGTTACACGTCGTTGCTTTTATTTTTATAAATAATTGCTGGATATTTTTTTTTTACACATTACAGCTGCAGTGTGATAACGATAAACGCCGATAACGATAAAAAATAAAGTAAAGGTGTGTTTGGCCAAACGTCACAAAATCGAGAGCTTTCAAGGAAAAAGCCCACCTCACCACATAACTCACCGTGGGCTTTTCGGTCCCACGGTACATTTAGTCCAGAGTGAGGTCCTTACGAGGCACTTAAAAAAAGTTTGGCCGTCTTAATACTAGGGCTATACCTTGCCATGACCCAGTCAAAAGAGAGCACTCAAAACGCTCTCCCGACTCATTTCTGTGTTCAAAGAGTGATCCCAAAAATACCCCAGAAATATACCGTACACCGTACATATACTGACAAAATGCGTTGATATTCATCAATTTTGATATTCGATTTAATATTACTGGCAAGTTATGACTTTAACAACTGAACATATCATTTTATCAGATGGATGAATCAATTTACTACAAGATTGGCTAGTTTCCCGAAGTCCTTTTTATTGCATTGTTTCCATAAAAAGGTTCAAGCAAAAACGGCAAGAGCATAAAACTTAAATGTTGATTAAATGTGACGTCATAGTTGCTGCTCAACCTACTTTCTTCTATGAGTATGGGCTTTGGTATACCCAATTATACCCTTTAACTAATATTAAATTTTTTGTTCCAAGCTGCTTTGAAACATTAATAATGATTTTATCCTAGATTAACATGTTTTTTTTACCTATTAATGCATATGTTTTGTGTTTTATAAATACATTTATCCCGGTTCACCGTACCCGTGAGCTGAAAAAATTTAATAACTTTTAAACAGAGACTGATTAGATTTTGTTTGCATCTGAGTACTAGGCTTAAATTGAATTTATTAGATTGATGAAATTGATGACATAAACATATACATATGTATCATTATGTACCTAGTGTAAACATTATAATAATCAAGTGTAAACATTTGAAAAACATAAACAACAAAATAGTCTAGTATTTATAATATCGATAGCAGTGTCGCATTGTATTTTTGGTATCGATAGGTGGAGAAGATCGACAAGAAAAAGAAGGGATACTTGAAACTAAGCAGCGGCAAAAAAAACGTAATAATAAATTAATAAAAATAAATGTGTTACACGATATACATAATGTACATATTTGCAGACGTTAATATGCCTTGAATTCAATTTCGTTGAATACATATCGATATTTATAAATATCGTCTAACAAACGAAAGCGCCACTGTGCAGGAAAATCCCAATTTCGGTTACTTTTTAAATTTTATTTTTTAATCTCGCGATTTAACTGAGAGAGGACGCAGATTACAGATCGAAATTTTACAGTTATCCTGTAAGGTGCGGATTCAAGCATTTAATACAACTATCAACCATCGAAGATAATTCGAAATGTAAGATCAAAGCGTTTTGTTTGGCTTGAAAACTCATTTCCACTACGTCAGAGGGAAATTATCATAATTTATTGCACTTACGAAAATCATTAGGCAAATTGCATCCATCTGCAAGCTTTGTCCTCCAATCAGCTCCAGTGCGGAAGAGGAAGAGTGCCCGCCCACTGGTTCTCGCTGAAATTAAGCCTATTGCCCCACCTGTTGCACCTTAATCCATAAATCAATCTGCCTGAGTAGGGAAAAAACATGGGGAAAGCTGGTGGGGATGGTCGTTGCGGCACATATTTAAAAATAAAATAACGAATTTTGCATTCTTTCTCTGCCGCTCGCGGGTTGTCTTTATGCTCTGCGTCTACAAAAGACGAGCATGACGTGTGTGTCATCATTTCAACGGCGCTGTTTCTCCCGGTTGGACGCGTACCCGCATGCGATCGGCCGAACTTCAAAGTAGTGCTTTCTGCGGTTTCTCCTTAATGCCCGTTGTTGATAATTTCTGTGCGAGTGTTGACTCCGAGTTCGGCAGCTGAGAGATCTGAATCAAGTGTTTAAAGTGCTCGTCAACTTACGGATTTATCGGTAATTTCCCGAAATAGTCCCGAACATACAAAATTTGTTCATGCAATTAATTGCACTTCTGCGCCAAGTCGTTGATTATTGTTTTTCTTTCGCTGCGGCCGTCACAGAAATTATATATATTAACAGACTTTGTTGTGAGACGACACCGACCCGACCGACCCCATGCATCCGAGCTCCCCTGCCGGAACTTCTGGTGGCGGCGCATGTTGGCAGCCTCAGCGGCCTCAGTGTCCGAAATATACATACAATATTTGTATGCATATGCCTCGTCTTACGAACCTTGTGACATTTGCCTTACTAGTATTAGAGCCTGACATCGACATCGATCAACTGCTTAAGATAACTGCTACGACTGCTACAATATAGACAATAGCTTATAACCATTTCTTCCATCTCTTTTCTTTGCAGTTGCGGTCGCCCTATCGCCCTATCGCCGTATCGCCCTATCCCCTGTGATACCTTGAGACCCATCCAAGAATAAGTATATCCAGTCCCTTGCCATGTCTGCGCAGGCCGCTGACAAACGCGCCTCATTCGCGCGCCGCGCCGAAAGCCTGTTGGAGCGGGTGAGAGTTATGAATACCATTTACGAGGTACCGGCATCAAGTGACCACAAATCGTGAGATATATAATTCTGTTCTGTTTTTTGTGGCTTCCCCCACCACCCCACACCCAGCCAGTATAACTTTGTATGCACTGGTAGATGCGTTCTGCTCCTGGCTGCTGCCCATTCCCTTCCTTCCATTCTTGAATCTATTTGGCCAAAGTCATGTGCGCTTGCATGGCTCGTAAATCATCGCTCGAGGCGGAAAATGTATTTCACACATTCACACAAATCGAAAAAAGCAAAACAAAGCAAAACGACTCGAAACGAAACGAAACGGAACGAACGAAAGTACCTGCAAGGCCAGGGGCGGACGGATAAGTACTACGAATATCCGTACAACAGGCCCGCACCCACCCCCGCCCCTGGCACGGTACAGACACATCCGTGCCATATCGATATTTATTTGATTAGAGTCAAATTGCTCGTGGGCGGGGGTCAGACACTCAGGTCCCGTCCTGTCCCCCACACGGGGCCTCTGGTGTGCGCGTATGGTGTGTCTCTGCTCGGCTCGGCTCGTCTGCTTTAATTAATCTTAAATACATTATACACATCGGCCCAATAAGTGGGGGCCAAAATGTACTCGGATCAAGGTCACAAGAACAGAATACTTGCCACTATCACAAGAGTGATTGCTGGCCTTTTACGGGTGTGTGCCGTTGACGCTAATGTTTCTGTGGCTGTGGCTGCTGCTCTAGGCGATGCCATGCAGGGAATGGGACAGATACACTGCTTGTCTTGCTTGACCCAAATAGGGGGGACGGGGTGTTCCTGAGCTGGGAAACGCACCATTTGGTACACTACTCGTTCTGACTGACTGACTGCTCTTTATTGGGTTAATTGAATGCATTCCTTTCAGGTCAGAAGGGAATATAAGGGAAATTGCTCAGTTCATTTCTCAATAAGTGTTGTGGGGCATGCAATTTTTGAACCGCATAGAGACATTCATACGAGTAAAACCGAATAATGAATAGGGCCAATATTGAATCAATAATACGACATAGCCAAACAAAACCTTTCGCAAATTAGACACATTTGAGCCCCGTGACTCCTCAATATGTACTCGTAGCAGTCTATACGTTCCGCCATAAAGAGACTAAAGCATCTTCCCCAATCATTAAGAATTTCTGTGCAATACCTGCACTATATGTATCCCTGTTCGTAGGGTAAAAACAAGTCATTGCTCGCTGTCTCTTGTGTTGTCGGGCTAAAAATAAATGTCCCAATGCGAATAGCCCTCCGAAATTGCATGGTCATTGTGGCTGTGGCAGCACAGCATCTGTATCTGCATATCTGTACAGCACAATGGAATTCCAACAGACGCACAAACAAATTTGTCAGGGACTGACTGGTGGAGTAAAATAATTGAGCGAAAGCAAAGAGTTACATCTGAGTATGGAAAGACATTTACTCGTATTCCATGTCCATTAATTAAGCGGATTAAGATGCGCGACTGCGTACACCCATACACTAACGCACCCAACAATATCCAGAGTTCATTGTAGCAATTTCCGACCCATTTCAAATAGTTTGTATATAACATTTGGGAGCGAAAAAATGCGTGTGCAAAACATACTTATAAACATTTAAACATTCTTGCAAATCCCATTTGCAGATATGACAACGAAGTTAATCATAAGTTAATCATAATGATAATCAGTTTGTTTCCATAAAACAGTTGCTTCCATCGAAAGCAGAAAGATGAAATGACAAGTTTGTCATCGCGATGTACTATTTTCTTCAGTCGAAAGACCCAGTACATAGAACAGAGTATTTTTACTGTTTTTGCATAAATTTTAGATTGTAATCGGAGTAATAATTCAAATAATAATTAACAATCCAGATAAATGAACCATGCAGACCATGTACATGTAGATGGCATATGTATTTATGTACATATGACACTTTGCTATTGAGTTTTTAAACATCATTCATTGAACAAATTTATCATCTATTAATCAATGTGGAATTTTGGATGTGCCCCATGAGAACTTTCGATAGAGTTAAGTTATAGTTGAACAAAATATCATATTTTTTGAGATATAAGAGGAAAAAAATGTGAGAAACCCTTTTGAAATGTGAATTTTTCTTTTCTTCATTGGCCACTACGGAAGAAGAATACTTAATTTAATATAATTTAATTTCGTCATTATTGCTGTGGAAATGATTAAATGCTTAAATTGAAAAGACTTGATAAATAATCCCCAGAAATTAGGAAGCCGTTTTAATCCAATAGAGTATAAAGAGATATAGATATAAAGTCTAGCTTAGGTCTGTGGTTTGTTCCTCCGCTCAGATAGTACTCGAGGCTTTCTATTAGGCCAGGAATTGCTTATGAGTTTTCATGATTCGTAGATATCAGTATTTTGCATTCGCATAAGTATCGAATTGGCGAACTTAACTGAAAATGAAATGAAACTAAGAACATCTACGCTTCGTCGGACTGTTGACCGTTTCTGCCACTTTTCTTGTTGTTGTGGCTAAA